GTCAAAATTATTGATTTTTCTTTTATGCCAAAAATCATTAGAATATTAAGTAAAGATCATGTTCCATGAAGATATTTTATAAATTTCATACTGTAAATACAGTATTTTAAAACTTAATTTTTGATTAGTAATATGCATTGCTAAGAACTTAATTTGGACAACTTTAAAGGTGATTTTCTCAATATTTCGATTTTTTTGCACCCTCAGATTCCAGTTTTTCTGGTTTTGTGGTCCAGGGCAGAGGTGTAAAGAGAACCTAAAAGTACCTAAAAAGCCGAAACAGAAAATGAAAAAACCCTCAGATTCCAGATTGGAATATGTCTTACTTGGCAAAATCACGGCGACCTATTTGTAGCAATAGCCAAAAATACATTGTATGGGTCAAAATTATAGATTTTTCTTTTATGCCAAAAATCATTAGGATATTAAGTAAAGATCATGTTCCATGAAGATATTTTATAAATTTCATACTGTAAATACAGTATTTTAAAACTTAATTTTTGATTAGTAATATGCATTGCTAAGAACTTAATTTGGACAACTTTAAAGGTGATTTTCTCAATATTTCGATTTTTTTTGCACCCTCAGATTCCAGTTTTTCTGGTTTTGTGGTCCAGGGCAGAGGTGTAAAGAGAACCTAAAAGTACCTAAAAAGCCGAAACAGAAAATGAAAAAACCCTCAGATTCCAGATTTTCAAATCAATGGAAAGCTTATTTATTCAGCTTTCAGATGATGTATAAATCTCAATTTCGAAAAACCCTTATGACTGGTTTTGTGGTCCAGGGTAGAGGTGTAAAGAGTACCTAAAAGTACCTAAAAAGCCGAAACAACCATACTTGAGTAAAAGTACAGATACCTTACAGTGAAAATTACTCCACTACACGTTACAAGTCACCAATTTCAAAACAACTTGAGTAAAAGTCTTAGAGTATCTGATTTTAACAGTACTTAAGTATTTTACTTGTACTAAATACAAATAGCCTCAAAGATGCACTAGTCAAAGAGACATGCCAGTCAAAAACTGTACGTTGTGGAGAAGCTGGGGAAAACAGGCAGAAGCAAGGATCTATGTGCAGGTATTTAATGGAAAAACTAGAACAAACAATAAGCCACAAACCAAAGGGAACAAAGAACAGAATGACTGGCAAACAGACAACCATTACATTCAACAAATAACTAAAGAAAAACTAGGGCTATATATACACACAGGGGGCTAACAAGCTTAACAAGATAAGACACACCCGGGGAGACTAATCAAGGGGAAACAATGAACAAATGGACTACAAACTGACTACAAACACCACGGGAGACAGAAAGTGACATAAAAGTCCAGGGCAAGGCACAGAGAACATGAAACAAAAACAAGAAAGACTTGATTTGTGAGGAGAGCAATCACGTTTATTATATCTCTTGCGAGAGTTGGCAACAGTGCCGTGTGCCTCAGAGAGAAGGAGCTTCGCATATTTATCATAGGTACACCAAAAATTTTTTTAATTAAATAAAATACATTAAAAAAATACAGGTAACGAAAATATTTTATTTCAGTTATGTTCACATAGTGAGAAATAAACTATCCAAGTGTCTGCTGTTGCTTATATTATTATCACACAACAATAGAAAATTGATGAAACATTAATTTGGATTGAAATTATTATAGCTTACTTCTAGAGATTGCAGTGATACATGACATGGTGAGAAATGACTGAATGAATAATACTGAAAGTAGGTTAAGATGAATTTTAAAAGTGTGCCCCCTAAAAGCACAAGTGGCCCCTGCCAGGCCCTCCCAGTTACTGTGGTCTAGAACCACCACTGGTGTGAACGGACCTTAAATCGCTTTCGCTTCTCTCCACTCACATAGGCTATTCCAGAATGGCTTTTGGTCTGTGTTCCTCGTTGACACACAAAGCTTTGGCTTTTTGTGGAAATACGATCTATCTGGTTATTTTTGTCAGAAAAGTAATAAGGATGTACAATGTTGATTACTTGTTTACAGAACATATAAGAGCAATATATGCTCGGCTGATATTCAGACTTGCTTGTGTGATATTGCAGTTGCATGCCACAGGAATGGAGTGTTGCTTCTTTTGCTGAGAGATCTTGTGGCAATTGATGAGTTGTTGGGCTGGTGCAGTGACCCTTCTGATATGAGAGTAATGAAGCTCAATACGGCACTCCTGAAAATGTTCACAAGGCTGCTGGAAGGAGTATGGGATTTTCACTCTGAAACAAATGAAGTAGAAAATGAAAGCTGACATGCTTGCACCAATTTCAATATTTAATGCCCCTTTAGCAAGACATTTCACCTGCTGCTGTCTCTAAAATCGGGCATCATGACAGTATTTACATTAGGGCACCAAAGCACCTTGTCCATGAAAGCACTGAGTCCACTATACTGTTTACTCCTGTCAGACCTAAGGATGTAGATGAGCATTTAGTCCTAATAGTCAAAACCATTTCTCTGAATTAGTTTGTCACCCACAGACAACCAAAGACATAACACAATACCAGTGTTGCTTGAAATAATTGTCATCTCTGGCTGAAATCCCCAGCAGTTACAAGGAATTTCACACTGATTTTATTTCATCTAAATGAAATAAATTTGGGTCAGATTAGATTGAAATGAGCCATCAGCCACCACATTTATCCCTCAACCTTCAAATGACCATATTAGCACATGGCACCATGCAGCATTGCCCTTTCTCTGTTCAGTAATACAGACAAAGAGTGGTCAAAAACATAAGCACATTCCCTTAACGGACCACTTGCTGCCTAGAGAGTGAGCTGATGAACTGCCATGACAGAGTGAAGATGTCAATCAATTCATCACACTGTGGCGGGGGCTGAGACCAAAGCAAAGCCTGGCCGATTAAAATCCACTTCTGTTTGATGGTGTTAAATTTAATGACACCATAGAGCATTGTATTGACATTTACACACACAAAAACTCACATTGCACTGTTACTAAATTAAAGTCGGCATGAAATAAAAATTCACCCGATTTTCTAAATGCATATTTATAGATCTTACTGTGAGCAATTCATTCATGCATGTTTCACTAAAAAATATTTCCTAGTTCAGTAGTCAAAATATCACAGAAATCTCAATTGCTATTATCTATGAATTTTAAAATGTTTTATGTTTTTTAATTGTTGTGGGCTCCATGCACTATTATTATAATTAATAATTATCATGTTTGTGGGTCAAACCGATCCTAACTGGCTTTAATAAAACTCACTCACACACATACACAAAAATGATCACACTGAAAAATAGCAACCACTGCAAATAGCAAACAGATCAAAACATTATAATATCATAAAATTATATTACAAACACATAAAAATAAAACAAAATAAATAGAACATAAAACTAAAACAGTAAATATACCGTATACAGAAACTATAACTTTTACTACTACTACAAGCCTTAATTTTGCATTCTAGGCTCATTTTGAGCACAAGTACCTTCTGCAAATGTAATTGTTGCAAGTGTAATAGTTCAGTTGATTATTTATTCACGGGGTGTAGTTTGATGATAGCACTGATTGTAATAGTGCTCTGTTCAGGTTTTTTTTTTTTTTTTTATATAGTAGCAGCGTGCAACCAAATTATCAGTGTGCCCCTCTATTGGTGAAAATCACTGCATGGTTTCTGTGGTAACCAGATTATGTTGGTCTGACTTTTTGCAGGGTATTTGCTCGGTGGTGTTGTCGTGCAATAAAATGGAGACATTTCCAGTGACAGGACACCAAAAACCAGGACTGTCCCCAGAAAATGGTGATGTCTCAGAGGACATTCACTGAATGTGTTATCGAGCACAATAAAGACAGCACACTTTTAAAACCGAGTGCCACAAAGGAAGTTGCAAATACAAACAAGCACAGTTGCTGCAGCGATTACATGCAAACACAGACAAAAAAAAAGTTTGTTTTCAATGTCACATCTATTTCACCTCGCAAAGTGAGGAGTGTATTAGTGCAGGTGCGACCTGTGTTAGTGTAGAGTGCAGAGATCAAGAGGTGGAGATAAAATGTATTACTTACTCTTCTCTTATGACAGCCACCCTCCATTTACTGACAGAAGAAATAAATGACCATCATACAACAAGCTAACCCCAAACATTCATCTGGAACATTCTCTTCATCCCCTTCACCTTGATTGTTTGCAACTGTTTTCCTCACCGGAGGCTTTTTTAAAGGACATATGAAATCCAACATCAAGGGACATGAGCATATTGAGCTAATATTTCTCTCCTAAGCATAAGAAATGCAACCCAAATGATATCTGCTTTTAAGCATTTTTTAATAAACAGCATTTTGTTTGTTACATAACCAACAATAGGAAATTTAAAAAGGCATTAAAAAAATGTGTACATTTCTAAATTATTTACAAACATTTCCAGTGTTAATGAAACAAATATGAACTGTTCAACAACATTTAGGTATCAAGCAAACAAAATATATGACAATTTAGAAGAACAAAAAACTTTAATTACACTTTTTTATCAAATTAATGTTTGCATTATATCTTTGCAGTTCTTGTTCTGAGTTTTCTCTTGATTATGAGATGATCGCTCTCTTGATTATCATCACTGCTTCCAATGATCTGTAAAATGATTTAATGAATTTAACACGCATTTACCTGACAGCATTGCTGCATGGCATTTACATTTTTTTAACACATTTTTAGGACCTGAACAAATACATTTTAAACTGTACCTCCATACCACATCACACACACACACACACACACACACACACCTCAAAACCACTCACATTCAACAAGGCTTTAGAACTTATTTCAACTATTTCTACATGTCAAACGTAAACATATGAAAGAACATTTCATAAATATAAATAATGACATAAAAAATTTAATGTAGCACAACTGAGCTTTTTTTTCTCTCTCCAAACATGACGTTACCAGGGTAATGTTATTGTTTTGATAAAGCATGAAACTTTTCAGCAAGTGTGGTTTATGTATCATTTTATCATTTTTAGTACATCGTGTGTACATAGTGCCCAGATGTTCAGGTTACTCAAACAAACAGAGCAATGATTTAGCACCATAGAGCCCAATGTTCTATGAAATCAAATATAATGTCTTACTTCTTAATTTACTCTGCATAATAAGTTGTGATTATAAAAATAGTATTAAAAGTATTAAAGAGTATTTAAAAATGTAGCACTGGAAAAATTAAAACAATGATCAACTCTGTTTTTTTTAGGCTTAAACATAAAAATGTCATATAGCTGTCAAAACATGATCTCTAACACATGATGTGCTTCTCATTCATTCATTCATTCATACATACATATAATTCACTCTTATGTGACTATCGCACAGGAAACACCACTTACATGATGATAGGTTATGTCCAGCGGGGAGGAAACATGAGTCTTGAAGAGCTTTCGTTTGGATCTCTTGGGTTTGTTGTTTTCAGAAGGATTCAGTGGTTCAGGGGATTTAACATTCACCATGCTTATGATCTTTTTGGCTGAGGATAGAGTTAAAAGTTGGGTCATGCTGAGAAACAGTATGAAACAATTTTGGCAGAGAGCTCCAATCAATGCCATTGACTGAGTGTAAAATTAAGAGACAGAGCTGACCTTTGCTCCCAAAGAGGGTTGGAGAGCTCTGGATAAAGTCACCAATCTTTTTCAGGGCTCCGTCTTTTTTCCCTTTCAGGCTGGCTGAGCCTTTCTGCTTTAATTGACTCACCTTTTTCCCTTGCACCGTGGGAGTCTGGTGAGGTGCAAAAATACAGAATACAACTAGCTCAGCATATTATCAAATAAACATTACAGAGAAAGATGTGAGATGTCACATGTGTATTAATGGACAGAAAGTTACCTCAATAGACTGCATGTTTTTCCTGTTGTTCACCTTCAGCCGTCGGTTTTTCCGATTTTCCGACTCCACAGAGCTCTAGAATAACAAACACATATAACACAAGTTATATGATTATGTGTTGCATTATATGTATGATGACCAAGTTAATGTGTTAGCACAATTGATTAATGTTTCATTGTTCATTTTTTAAATGTCTTGCAATTTGACAAGGCTTTCTAAAATAGACTGGAACCTTCAGAGTTTACTGCAACTAATTATAGCTGCAATACAAAGACAATTTTTATGGCTAATTTATTTATAAATTAATCCCAAAAGTAAACACATTTGGATTATTTTTCTTGTGAAATGTAATCATTATCATGACATTAGAATGTTTAAATGATCTTTCCTTAACAGGGAACTGAATGTGTTAACTATGGAAAAAAGTATAATGATTAATCATGTTGGTATTTTAATAAATTAATAGGTTTAATTATATGTATTATAAAATGTAAATGAATGTATAGTATGGAAATTAATGCAGGACTCGTTAAGGGTTCTGACCAGTGAATTTCCACAATTTTTTTAATTACTTTTTTAGTCATTTGTGCTGAAAAGCATTTTATAGATATTGCACTCACAAAGAGTAAATTCTAACTTGAGAAATACTTGAGAACTTAGCATAATTAAAAAAGGGGAAAGACTATGGAAACTTTTCATGACATTTCCAGATGTGAAAACTCACACTTTTGAAATTTCCTGACCATGGGAACCTTTCATATTTTTGATTGCTTAGAAAGCACAACAAAATGTTTAGACATGGTGTCTGTATACCTCCAACTCTGGGCTCTTTCTCTTTCTGGCTGTACTTCTGAGTTTTTTCGTGACAGACTCTTCTTCTCCTGGTTTCCTGACATTCATTCGCTCAGGTTTAAGTGGTGTAAAATAGTTGCCTTCGTTCTCTGTCTTCACCTTTGATGTCTGTTTGGGATGGTCAACTTTCTGGGTAACAGCTTTACAAGAAACAGACAAATCATCTTTTTCCCTTTGTAATTTCACAATGGTATCCTGCTTCTCAGCCCGCTGCTGCTTTAAAATGTCCTGTAATCAGTATGAAGGGAAGTGAAGAAGAAAAAATATTATGTTAAATAATAAATATTATATTAAAATGTTCTAATATTATACTAGCACTATCATCAAACATTGTTACTGATTTAAAGCATTTTAAAATCCTTCCAGTTTGCTTTAATTCGCAATGGCCTAATAATTCAACATCTTAACTATTGATAGGCTGTTACATTGATCAATGAGGCAATATTTAGTCATTCAGAAATAATTAGGCTTTGACCAATAACATTCCTCAACTTGCCAAATAAAAATGGCCATTCCACTCTGTGTCAGTTTTTTAAAATTCTAAATCAGAGTAGTGCAATTTTACAATTTTTGGTGTACTTTGAGCAAATACGGTATAAAAGAAGTTGAATTAATTAATTATTGTACCAGCCAACCTGCTCTCTAATAGTGGTATCAACCATTCAAAAAACACAGTAGCTGATACTGATCTAGATTACTTGTATATACAGTATATTAGCAGCAGTGCTCAGTAAAGTGTAGATGGAGAAGATGCATAATCAAATGAATGCTGTTTAAAGCACTATTCAGATGGACATCATTGAACTTGTATTATATCTTGCACTAAGGTGGCATGTCAAATAAAAAATAGCCCAACTTTTTAAAATCGTGTCTTGAGACCTCTACATCCTGCTCTACTGCGTCATGCTTTTGCATGCAAAAACATGTCTTATATGATCCTACCTGTACTAGATGTCTAGTGGTTCAAGAAAAGAGAGTTTTGCACATTCCACTCTTCTGCAGTGATATTACTGTCCTGCTGTAGTCCTGTCATTCCTCCTGTTGGCAAGTCACTCGGACCACAAAAATGATATTCACTCAGAAACCTGCTGGTAAAATAAATTACTACTCAGAGCTAAATCCTGCCCTCAAGTCTGTGAAAAATAAAATAATGTGGCAGGGAGAGAGAGAGAGATGGAAAGCTGATCCTATTACCAGCTCCAGCTGCAGCCTGACCTGTTGGTCACCCTCTAGTTGCCTTGCTGCCTGAGCCACTTTCCTCATGGCTGCTTCATCCAGCCCCTTTTCCTGCTTATCATCTGCCTGCTCCTCATTAGGCTGAATACTTTTTTTTTACTGCTGGCAAAACCCAGTTGAGGAAAAGTTGGAGGGATCATAGACTTCCTTACCTTTGTGTTTTCTGCAGGTCTGCAAGCTCTCTGTTCTTCCTGCTGAGGTTCAACCGAGACACCAAAACTTGGTTTCTGATACATCTCCTGCAGTTGTGCAGGATCTGAGAAGAACAGAGATGTCTGAGCTTAGCTTCAGTTACAGGTGAGACAGGTGAACTGAACAGTGTAACGGAAGCAGTGTTACCATGACACCAGAATTTCAGTAGATGATACTAATAGCAGTAAAATGTCTTCAGTATCACATAATACGTCCAAAATCATTCTAATATGCTGATCGGTGCTCAAGAAACTTTTCTTATTATCAATGTTTACAAATTTGTTGCACTGCTTAATATTTGTGAGGAAATAATTTTTTTTTCAAGATTCTTTGATGAAAAAAAAATAAATGAAAAAAAAGAATAGCATTTATTTGAAAAGGAAATCTTGTGTAACATTATAAATGTATTTACTGTAACTTTTGATCAGTTTAATGCATTCTTGCTGAATAAAAGCACCCCCCCCCCCAAAAACAATGTTTACAAATTTGTTGCACTGCTTAATATTTGTGAGGAAATAATTTTTTTTTCAAGATTCTTTGATGAAAAAAAAATAAATGAAAAAAAAGAATAGCATTTATTTGAAAAGGAAATCTTGTGTAACATTATAAATGTATTTACTGTAACTTTTGATCAGTTTAATGCATTCTTGTAAAAAAAAGCCCCCCCCCCCCCAAAAAAAAAAACACACACACACAAAATAGTAGTGTATATATTAACAAAATTACCAGTAGTGTATATATTAACAAAAACAATTTACTTTAAGTAAACAGTCAGTGAAGAACAAAGGAATAAATTAAAAGCAGTGTTTTACCATTTTCCTTGTAAATATTGCTGTTTGATTAGTATTAAATGTAGGAGATATAATTATAGAATATAAATAAAATGTGTTCATATAAATTAATACATTTAAACTAGAAATAGAAGATATAAAAATTATTATTACGTTTAACAATCATTTAATAGTCATTATTGATACATTTCAATTAAAAATAGAGAATTAAAAAGTCAATATTGCTGCTTAATATTTAAATATTAGATTAATATGAGTAATAAATGAATACAGTTAATACTGAAAGTCTGGAATCTTGTTTTTCTTGTATCTACTTGGCATTGAAGTAACTATGTTTTGAATTCCCCAAATTGAATCTTGCTGACTTCTCACAGTATGTTGTCTAGCAGAGATTTATACAAATTACAATTAGAACAGACTCCTTCAGCTATGGATTCAGTCTCATTCAGTTTGGCCTCCAGCAATTTCTCCTCATCTGTCTGTGTGCACTTGTTATTTAAGTTACCACACATCTCCTTAATCAGCTTCTGCTCTGCCAAAAGATCTGCAAACAAAATCTTACTAAGGACAAAACGTAAGCCGATTTAGTTGGTACTGCGGGAAAAAGGGGTTTAAATGAAAAGATAAATAGGTTACCTTGACAGGTTGTTTGGAAAGGCTGTATGTTTTCCTCTTCTATGACATGGTTAGGCTTCACCTGTGAGTGAAAAGATGTAGAATAATCCAGCATTTAATACCTGATAACATAAACTGAACAAAGCTGAGAGAAAGAGCAGCACTCACAGTCTGCTGTGGGTCAATAGATTGCTCTGTACAGCTCAAACTGTGCCCAGCCTGATCCCTCAGCTTATTTGCTTCACATAGCCTCTGCTGAAACATTTTGTTTTCTTCACTTAAGATAAAAATCTGATGGAAAAAAAGGATTGTTTTTAAAAAACCCTGTTAAAATCACTTTTAGAACACTAACAATGGACAAAAGCAGTGATATTTCCAACCTGTTTCTCTAACTGTTCTTTCTGCATGTTAGCCTCACATAATTGATCTCTGACATCAGATCGCTCCCTCTCCACCTGCTGCAAATCGTAACTCAAGGTCTTGATTTTATTACGTCCATCATTCACAAGTTTTCTCAACCTATAAAAAGACCAAGAGATCACTAAAACCAACTACAAATAAACAATCTAGTGAATATAAAACAAGTCACTGACTCAACAGAAATAAGGACCTACACTTCTTGAGTTATCAGAAAGTTTGGATGAGAAATGAGAACTTACTTCGAAAGCTCATGGGCTTTAGTCTCTAGTTCTGCATCTTTATGAGCCAGATCTTTCTCCATCGCAGTTATTCTCCTCTTGGCCTTGTCTCTTACCTCAGAGATCTCATTCTCTACAATTGTTCTCACTATGTTCTGAACCTCCTCGTGCTGGTTCAGTTTTCTCAGCGTTTGAATGAGTTTCTCCTGCAGTTTTTTCCAACAATCATCTCTGGAGTCTTGCTCTTGTTCTTCTATCCTACCCTGCTGATGATTCAGAACATTCAGCTCTTCCAGGAGCTCAGAGTTGCTTTTTATTTGGGCCACAACAACCTTTTGAGCTTCATAACAGCTCAGGAGACTCTGGTACTCCTTTGCCTGTGCATCACGCTCATATTGAAGCTGACTGCAGAGTTCCTTCAGCTGGCACATGTTTGCTCTGGTCTGGCTGACCTCTTGCTCCAGGTCATTGATCTGTCGGCTCTTCTCATGAGACAACTCCACCATCCTCTCACATTCAGCCTGTGTTTTGTCATGTGAGAGCTGGCGGGCACTGAGTTCCTGACGCAAGTGATTCGAAAACTCTTGGGCTTTAGTCTCTAGTTCTGCATCTTTATGAGCCAGATCTTTCTCCATCGCAGTTATTCTCCTCTTGGCCTTGTCTCTTACCTCAGAGATCTCATTCTCTACAATTGTTCTCACTATGTTCTGAACCTCCTCGTGCTGGTTCAGTTTTCTCAGCGTTTGAATGAGTTTGTCCTGCAATTTTTTCCAACAATCATCTCTGGAGTCTTGCTCTTGTTCTTCTATCCTACCCTGCTGATGATTCAGAACATTCAGCTCTTCCAGGAGCTCAGAGTTGCTTTTTATTTGGGCCACAACAACCTTTTGTGCTTCATAACAGCTCAGGAGACTCTGGTACTCCTTTGCCTGTGCATCACGCTCATATTGAAGCTGACTGCAGAGTTCCTTCAGCTGGCACATGTTTGCTCTGGTCTGGCTGACCTCTTGCTCCAGGTCATTGATCTGTCGGCTCTTCTCATGAGACAACTCCACCATCCTCTCACATTCAGCCTGTGTTTTGTCATGTGAGAGCTGGCGGGCACTGAGTTCCTGACGCAAGTGATTCGAAAACTCTTGGGCTTTAGTCTCTAGTTCTGCGTCTTTATGAGCCAGATCTTTCTCCATCGCAGTTATTCTCCTCTTGGCCTTGTCTCTTACCTCAGAGATCTCATTCTCTACAATTGTTCTCACTATGTTCTGAACTTCCTCGTGCTGGTTCAGTTTGCTCAGTGTTTGAATGAGTTTGTCCTGCAGTTTTTTCCAACAATCATCTCTGGAGTCTTGCTCTTGTTCTTCTATCCTACCCTGCTGATGATTCAGAACATTCAGCTCTTCCAGGAGCTCAGAGTTGCTTTTTATTTGGGCCACAACAACCTTTTGAGCTTCATAACAGCTCAGGAGACTCTGGTACTCCTTTGCCTGTGCATCACGCTCATATTGAAGCTGACTGCAGAGTTCCTTCAGCTGGCACATGTTTGCGCTGGTCTGGCTGACCTCTTGCTCCAGGTCATTGATCTGTCGGCTCTTCTCATGAGACAACTCCACCATTCTTTCACATTCAGCCTGTGTTTTGTCATGTGAGAGCTGGTGGGTACTGAGTTCCTGACGCAAATGATCTGCCTCCGTCATTAAGGATTCAATAGATTTGGACTGACTGCAATACTCTGCTTGATGTCCCTTAATCAAAGCTTTGGCTGCATCGAGTTCTTCTGAAAGCTCATTGGCAATCTTTGTCTGAGTGCTCAATTCCATCTGGAGAGTTTTGAGCTTTGAGCGCATCTCACTGGCCGTTTGCTGCAGTACATGTAGCTCATTGGCAAGAGCCTTGTTCTCATTTGTGACTTTGTTGACCTCTGCTCTCTCCATCGCCACAGTAGCTTCATATGCACGAGTCTGCTCTGCCAATCTATCAGACAGATCACACACTTTTTTCTCAAGTGAACAGCGCTCAAGTTTAAGTTCATTCAGCTGCTCATCTTTCATTTTCAGTTCTTGCAGAAGCTGTTGAGTTTTTTGACTTGTCATTTCCTCCCCTCTAGGTTCACCATCTTCATTCAGCATACACTTACAGTTGTTTCTGAAATTTAGGATTTCTTCTTTGATATTATTAATTAAGGCCTGCTGTACATTGGGAAAGAAAGAAAAAAAACATCAATACAGTCCAAATGTATAACTAAATGTATAAGTAAAATAAGCCTACTATGAGCTACTTTCATGGTGTTTTTAATGTCCTTTTTGGATTTTGATGTACTCATCACGATAAACCCTTGTTTGCTGAAAAGACATGTGGCAAGATACTTAAATTCTCTTTTTGTGTTCACAAAAAAACAGGTTTGAAATTAAATAAGTTAATGACAGAATTAATTTTCAATCAGTCTCACTTGTAGATCACCACTCTTAATCACCATCACATTCCTTGGTGTTCATGTCTCTGAGGATCTTTCCTGGACCCTCAATACCTCCACTCTTACCAAAATGGCACAACAGCATCTTTATTTCCTTAGGACGCTAAGGAAATAACATCCTGTTGAAATTTTAACACTGCACTATTGAGAGCATCCTAACAAACTGCATCACAGTGCGGTACGGCAACTGCACTGTCTCAGACCAGAAAGCCCTTCAGCAACTGCCCAATACATCACAGGTGTTCAGCTACTCTCCATCAAAGACATTCATCACATACGCTGCCTAAAGAAGGTGAGAAGCATTATCAAATACTCCTCTCACCCCAGCCACAGACTGTTTACTCCACTCCCATCTGAGAGATGTTATAGGAGCCTTCGCTTCCGCACCAGCAGACTCCGGAACCGTTTCTTTCCCTCAGCTGTAGGGATGCACAATATTACATTTTTGCCAATATCCAGCAACTCATTTTGGCTCGATAGCCATTATATATTTCCTTTTGCTTTGAAACAACACCAACTCTCTCCTGTGCAGAAATTATAAACAAATTATTTTGAATTTTGGTTAGTTTTGAGCAAAAACTTATTTCTTAGAACTAATAAACTTTATTAAAGTTTTTTTAATGAGTATATTGAAAGCTTTGAAAATAACTATAATAAAATCAATCTCTGCTGTTTTTTGTTATTTTTTTACCTTAACATTTTATTTGTGTATTTAACATTAACAGATGGTCTAAAGCATAAGAACTGTAAAAATTCTAAAAATATTTTAGAGCTCCTTGTATTTAAGTTTTCATAGTCCATTTGAAAAAAATATATTACATATTAATTAATAAATCTGTATATATTAAATTATTTAATAGCCTATACACGTGTCATGTTTGTGATTTTTATTCGGGTAAGCTATATACCTTTAAATCAAAACAGACTTGTGATTTTATGACATCAATTACTGCTTTATTTATACAGAAACACAAGTATCTTAATGTTATTTGTGTATTTTTCTTTCATTTTATTACAAGTAGGCTAACTGCTGCAGGCGACTGTTTACTCTATTGCACACCGGACGTGTCATTCTGTATGTGCATTCTCAAATTAAATGTGGCAATCCAAAACTGTGAATGTAATCATCATACAGGTAAATGTTCGCTTCAAGAATGACCGCACTGCTGATGTGATCGCTAGCACACCCTGAGCACATGTGAGCTATTCGTTTTATCGGCTTGGCATACATTTTTTCAAATCGGCCAATGCCGAATGTTTATATTTTAAGCCTTTATCCAACAGGGTCTGGCTGCAGACTTAAACTTGCACTTTCAGACTTGCACTTTCAGACACTTGCGCTTCCGCAATTTACGTCACTTGCAGTCTTTATTTTTTATTTTGTTCTATTTATTGATTTTTTTTTGTTTGAATCTCTCAACATTTTACAACAGTAGCCAGGTGGTGAAGACAAGAAAAAAAAGGAAACTAAATTACAACATCACTTGCAATCGCCACTTGCACTCTCCGCTACCTGCGACGTCACTTGCAATCCACACAAAAAGTGGTGATTTAATGATTACAACTAATTTAGAACAATAACATACAGGGTCCTACAAGAAAAAGACAAGACCCTCAAATCCGTGGCCACAGAACAGCAGAATATGAATGCAATGCACAAAGTCTCTCATTAAGCCTTTTCATCCCATAGAAAAACAAACACTCAATATGATGGCTTAATGTATTAAGATGCTATTAAAATATCAAATTCAATATATAGTTTATTAATATAATAATTATGTATATAGTATTTTCCTCCCATACCGCAAAACGTGGCATAGATGGCCATGAACACAATGCGCAAACTTCCACTTGTCCTCCCATACAGCAAAACGCGTAATGTGGCATAATTAAGGACTAAGGCGATAAAGACAATTCAGTAGCCTATATGTCTTGTTGTTGACGCAAAGTACATACAGACCAGCAGTTATGAACATGCATTATGAAATGCATTAAGTGATATTAAAAGGATCAACTCCGTACAGGCAAGCAGAC